TTTTTTTTTTTTTTTTTTTTTTTTTTTTTTTTTTGAGACAGAGTCTTGCTCTGTCACCAGGCCGGAGTGCAGTGGCGCAATCTCGGCTCACTGCAACCTCCACCTCCTGGGTTCAAGCGATTCTTCCGCATAAGCCTCCCGGGTAGCTGGGACCCCAGGCGCGTGCCACCACACCCTGCTAATTTTTTTTTTGTATTTTTAGTAGAGACAGGGTTTCACAGTGTTGGCCAGGATGGTCTCGATCTCTTGACCTCGTGATCCGCCCGCCTCGGCCTCCCAAAGTGCTGGGGTTACAGGCGTGAGCCACCACACCCGGCCTGTCATCACTATTTTAATGACTTTAAGAGTAAAGCTCTTTGGTAGGGCACCGTGGCTCATGCCTGTAATCTCAGCACCTTGGGAGGCCAAGGCAGGTGGATGGCTTGAGGTCAGGAGTTCAAGACCAACCTGGCCAATATGGTGAAACCCCCATCTCTAGTACAAATACAAAAAAATTAGCAGGTCATGATGGCACACACATGTAATCCCAACTATTTGGGAGACCTAGGCACGAGAATCACTTGAACTTGGGAGGCAGAGGCTGCAATGAGCTGAGATCATGCTACTGCTCTCCAAGCCTGGACGACAGAGTGAGACTCTGTCTCAAAAAAAAATTTTTTTTTAAGTAAAGCTCTTTGATTCAAGGAGTTATATAAGAAAAGGACTTCTGGCTAAAGAAAAACAGCAGCAACAACAAAACACCATCCGGTTTACAACCAAAACAGGTTTGATTGCAATGCCGTGATGCTAAACCACAGCTCTACCCTGGTCTTCCTAGGACACTCCAAACCAGCGTTCTTGGCTTTTTTAAAAGTCCTTTTCAGCTCTAGGTAAACAGAGTACATTTGAGACCAGAAAGAAAACTCCTCACACTGTCGGTAGAAATAGACATTGGCACAAACTACCAACTCTCAAAATGTACATAACCTTTAACCCAGTGATTCATTTCCCAGGAATGTCTCCAAGCACAACACCCACAGAGGCACAGAATGTCCTCTGCAAGGTGTTTACGGTAACAAGGGATTGGAAACAACCTAAATGGCCATCAGCAGGAGTCTGAATTAACAGATGAATTGCATAGTCACACCATAGAATACCGTGTGGTTTTCTGAAAGGATGGGGTAGGTCCTTAGGCACTAATATGAAACCCTCTAAGAATAGCATTTTAATGAAATGAAAGTGTCTTGCACTGTACACTGTAGTGTGCTATCATATTTATAAAAGAAAAAAGTCCTGAGAGAGAGATGTGCTTTTTGTTGTTGTTGCTGTTGTTTTTGAGACGGAGTTTCACTCTTGTGCAGGCTGGAGTGCAGTGGCACGATCTCAGCTCACTGCAACCTCTGCCTCCCAGGTTCAAGCAATTCTCCTGTGTCAACCTCCTGAGTAGCTGAGATTACAGGCATGCGCCACCACACCTGGCTAATTTTGTATTTTTAGTAGAGACGGGTTTCTCCATGTTGGTTAGGCCGGTCTCGAACTCCTGACCTCAGGTGATCCACCCGCCTCAGCCTCCCAAAATGCTGGGACTACAGCCGTGAGCAACCGTTACGATATTTATGAAAGAAAAAAGAGCTGAGAGAGAGATCTTTTCATACTGTTTGTTTGTTTGAGATGAAGTCTCGCTTTATCACGCAGGCTAGAGTGCAGTGGTGTTAGCTCACTGCAACCTCCACCTCCTGGATTCAAACTATTCTACTGCCTTAGCCTCGTAAGTAGCTGGGACTACAGGAGCATGCCACCACACCCAGCTAATTTTTGTATTTTTAGTAAAGACGAGGTTTCACCATGTTGGCCAGGCTGGTCTCAAAATCCTGACCTCAGGTGATCTGCCTGCCTCAGCCTCCCAAAGTGTTGGGATTAGACATGAGCCACTGCACCCAGCCTATTTTCTCATATTCTTTAAATATAATCACATAATGTAAGATACATGAATGATATAGACATGTGGACTCCTACATGAACTACCACTGGAAGGTTACAATGGCTGAAAGCAATGGTTGACTCTGGGTGAGGAATCAGGATGGGGAACAGGGAGACTGACTTCTTAATCTTTATCCTCTAGTATTACTTGTAATTTTTACCATACGCCTGCATGTCTTAGTCAATTGAAAGAAATTTCCATACAACTCCAACGACCCCTTGAGAACATACCCTCTGGAGTTGAAGACTCCTTTCTGCGGCTGGACGGCGGGGCCAGCAGGCTCATGGCACTGGGCTGGTGCTCTGGCGACCGCACGATGGCGGACATGGCGATCTGCTGCCTTGCAGTGGCTGGCGTGGATGGGTGTGGGTGGTCCGTCGCTTTGCGGTGGGCAGCTGCAGAGAGACCAAGACAATGTCCTTTGGTTAGCTGGGTCACCTAGAGGACCAAGCCAAGTGGATCATCCCTGGGCTGTCTTTCAAGGACCCGAGACTAAAAGAATATGCATCACGTCAACTTGGCAACACACAGGGGCCATACGTTTCTCAGACATGGGATGTCTGGGCGGAAAGCGTATGGGCCGTAAACAGACACTGAACTAGACAGCCTTGTCTAGTTGATCTCAGTGAGATCAATCCTCTGCCTTTTCCACAGCATTGAGCACTTTGGAGAGAGCGAGCCCCTACCTTCCTCCCGGGCGGACCGGAGCTCAATGCGGGTCTTCTGAAGGGCTTCCTCTAGCTCTGCACAGCGAGCTTTCTCCTTCTCCAGGGCCAGCTTCAGCTCATTGTACTGCAGAGGAACCTGTGTGGGCAAAGCAGGGTCCTCTTTCCGTCGACTAAATAAACCCTAGCAATGGAAACAGAGATATCTCCTAACTCCTGGAAACTGGCACTTGAAACTAGCTAAAGGAAATCTGACTCGGGAGGAGCAAACCACAAAAGCCAGGAGCATACTCACTGTAAGTGTATTTAGTAAAAATGGCATGTGAAGGGGGGGAAGGGTAGGCTGAGCCACAGCCCGTTCCAGCCGGCTGAAAAAAATTGGGGTGCGGAAGTTTTCACCAAGAGGATTAAAGATGCTTGAATGGTCACTCTTCCTTTAGCATTGCCAAGACAGGAGAGTCATGTCCTGAGTCTTTCCCATTCAAAAAATGGAATCAGGAGAGTATGGTGTATGGAGTCAGGAGAGATGGTTCAGAGGTCACTCTTGCCTTGGAATATGCCTCGTGATGCTCAGTTACAAGACACAGAGATGAGTGTTTTGTAAAAGGAAGCAAAATTTAAAAAGGAATGCTAAAATGAGATCAAAACAAGGGACTTACTAAAAAAGAATGCAAATGGAAATATTTACATGAAAAAAAGGAAAACAGAATAATGCAACTTAAAAAAAAGTTAATTAAAAAAAAATACAAATGGAAACACCCTAACTAAATCAAGTGACATAACCAGATAAGAGTTCACTGCTAAAATAAAAAAGATTAAATATCGTAAGCATAACAACCATATACAGTCATGCAGCATGCAAGAAAATCCTTCCCGTGCAGCCAATATCTAGCGGCAGGCAGCCTCTGAATGCTGGGCTCATCCCCTTAGAGGGAAGATGGCACCGGAAATACAGAGACCACTGTCGACTTCAGTCCTCCACTCCTTCCTCCTAGGTATTCTAAGTCATCAAGGCCTCCCCCGTAAAACCATTGCCACTGCCACTATGGTATGCTTCTGCATTTGGAAGGAAACTGCAAGCTCCTCCGAGACTTTTCTGGAACTGAGAACACCTGGCTAAACCTAGTATGAAGGCTTCAGTGGTTTGGAAAAGCATGTATTGATCAGGCTTATGAAAAACAATCTTCTCATGTGCACTACATATAACCCTGCCCCTAGTCTGTCATCTGTTTGTCTCTTACAATCTAAAAGGGATGTTTGGTACTTGGCAGAGGGGATAACAGTCCAGTCAGACACTACAGGCAGGTCACTCCAGCTCCCTGAGTTCTAGTCTCTTTGTGAGCCAATCAAAAGGACTGGAATAGACCACTGTTAAAGTCCTTTCTGGAGTGTGGTACAAGGACCTGAACTGCTGAGGCCCTATCCTCGTGACTTGCTAACTCCCTCTAGAGTCACGTAAGCATGACTTAGGTATAAATCTTTCTCTCTGCATACACCCCCTCTGCCCCAGCTGCTATGTGTATGTGTGGGCTGGGGAGGGATTACTTCTTTAACAGAGAAAGATACTACGATTTCAATGGCCATAAACAAAAAGTAGTTTGTTAGACTTGATCAACGATATCTTTTGATAAGACCTATTGTAATTATCTCAAAATCTATTTTTCAACCCAAAATAAAACAAAAAAAAAATGTGTACTTGGTTTTCTTCTATGTTTCTATGATTGCATATCACAGTGGTGTCCACTGAACCATGAATGATGAGTGAAACTGACAACTCCCACTTCTCAAACACTTTGACTCACCTTTTTCTTTTTAGCAGGTTGGTCCATTTTGGCTTGCAGAAAATCAATGAGTTTGGTTTGTTGAGAAATAGTGCCTTCCATTTTCACCTTTTCATGAGAATAGAGAACCTAAAATTCAAAAAAACAAAATAACCTCAGACCCAGACAGAAGTGTTTTTTAAAGCTGGGACTTTAAGAAACTAAAAAGTGAAGTTGTAAAGATATTAACATATGAAAATCCAACACAAACAGTACGGAGTCAGTATTTATTTAGTCCCAATTTTACTGCAAAGGAGAAAAAAAGATATATTTATAGATAAATAGGTGAAAAAGTAAAAATAGCAACTGGTTCATTGTAGGTCATGGTCACTATAGAAATCTTCCAACTTCTCTGAATGGTTGAAATCTTTGAAAATAAAATCTTGAGGAAAATACACAAAATAAGTAGCACAAAGATCCTGATGCTTTTACCAGATGACTTTGCACCATTGTGCTTTGCCTCTGCAGACCTTGTTTATTTATATATTTATTTATTTATTTAGAGATAGAGTCTTGATCTATTGACCAGACTAGAGTGCAATGGCACAATCTCGGCTCACTGCAACTCCACCTCCAGGGTTCGAGCCATTCTCCTGCCTCAGCCTCCCAAGTAGCGGGACTACAGGCACCCGCCACCATGCCCAGCTAATTTTTATATTTTTAGTAGAGATGGGGTTTCACCATGTTGGTCAGGCTGGTCTCAAATGCCTGACCTCAGGTGATCCGCCCACCTCGGCTGGCCAAAGTGCTGGGATTACAGGCGTGAGCCACTGCGCCCGGCCATGCAGACCATTTTTCAGCAGATTCCCTTTGCCAGTCCTCACCTGAATGTTCTCTAGCTGATACTCCAGGTCACTTCTTTCTGTCTTCAGCAGATCAGCCCGATCTAGAGCTTCTTGCAGTCCTTGAGTCAGACGGAAAATGTGGTTTTTCTGCAGGTCCATCTGCTGCTGTAATTTGGCTTGCTAGTGGGGAGAAGGGCCAGGGAAATGCTTGATACTGCACACAATACAATTTGTTCCCTGCTGTTCCTATTTCAAACTAATTTCAGGCATGGCACCAGAAGTACAGCTTTTGAAATCATTTCAATTCAGAATTACCAATTGTCATCTATTCCAAAAGGATGCAAGCACAGTTAAAATGAATTTGCGCAGCACAGAAACCTCTGCTGGTCAACAAGTCCTAGGATCCCCACTGTCACAGAAGTCCAGACTCCAGGGTTGGCCTTCCCAGACACAGTTCCAATTGAGGATATTTTGGTACTTAAGACCGTGAGCCATCAGAGTTGACATCTAAGGCAGTTCGACTCAGTGCTATGATAACTGAATTCCAATTTGCCTTTATTTTTTGTTTTCAAGATTTTGTCACTATGAGAAATTACTCTGTGCAGGCAGTGTGGGATATCCAAAGAGAAATCATATCATCCTTTACTTAATAAGTGCCCCAGCAGGGTGAGAGACCCCAACAAGTACACGAATAGTCACAGTCATGGGTGATATTTCTATGTTGGGGGAAAAGAAGAAGAAATCCCAGTTGCAGTACAGTGTTGATAGAACCAGGAAAAGAAATTCAATTGAGTATATGGAAAATAGTTTTGTGCTGCAAATCTCGCTCCAATTTTTTTAATGGACGATAACCAGAAAATAGGACAGGCTATAAAGATGCTGGTTTCATGGCTCTTTTTCCTAAAACACATCCGTTTCTAAAAAAGCAGGAGAGACCAGGCATCCTCATGAGATGGTGCTTGATTTTATCCAAACCCTGGATTATAGCCTAACTACACTTACTGTGGCCCAAATAATCTCTTCCCTGGTAGCTTGGGCCCTCTGCAGAGTTAGGGACAGAGAGCTACTCAAAGCAATAAACATCACCACAGGTGATTCCAAAAGGTCTATGGCAGCCCTGAAAGCCCTCCATCCCAGCAGGCCCAGAGCCACTGATAATCTCAGAATTTCCTGACCCTCTCTGTCTCTTTGCTTCACTCTAGCTCTGTTTTTCTTTCCGTTTACACTCCTCACCTCCCCTTCCTGTTAAGACGTAGCTGATTCCCTAAGGCATCGTGTTGCAGCAGAAAGACCTGGATGCTGGACTCTAATAGACAGACCCTGGATTAAATCCTGACTTTCACACTTATCGTATCACTGATACCTGTTAAAGTCTGTATGTGCCACCTCCCAGAGCCTCCGTTTCTTCATCTGAAAGTGGGTATACTAGCTTGCCTCACATATTAAACACAGTGCCCAGTATATAGTAGGTACTTAGTGAATGTCCTTTCCATTTCCTTTGTCCTTCTTTCTTCCCTCCATTCAGTTAAGGTGCTCCCTCTCATCCTCCCATCTGCCTTTCCCTACCAGTACTGCCACAAAGCTAGAGGTACCAACTAAAGATCACTTGGAGCCAGGCACAGTGGCTCACACCTAAAATCCCAGGACTTTAGGAGGCTGAGGTGGGAGGATTGCTTAAACCCATGAGTTCAAAGTGGCAATGAGCTGATTATGCCACTGCATTCCAGCCTGGGTGACACAGCAAGTCGCTGTCTCCAAAAAAATAAAAACAAAAATAAAAGATCATTTGGCCCATATGCATAACCTGGAATTTCTGAATCAAACCACAGAGCCCCCCTACAATACAGGAAAAAAGGAAAGAAAACAGCTAAGATACCCTCCTCCGCAGCATGAGTGATTTCTTCTGCAAATTACCCTCTTTAGTTTCTTCCCACTATTTTAGGACAACATTAATTACTAGGCAGAAACCAGAGAAACAAGTGCTGGGGACGAGAATCTGTTTGGTGACAGCCAAGCCCAAAATATTTTACTAGAATAAACGCATCAACTGTCCATTAGCTTTCCAAGAAATAGGCTGGTTATTCACAAAAAAAAAAAAAAAAAAAAGGTAAGAGAGGCATTTGTATTCTGAAATGTTTTTCAGAACCACTTACCTGCTTCCCAGAGAGAAGCAAACAGAAGCATGTTCATGGGTCAGTGTTAGACTGAAAGGGGGGCCTCAGCTGTGTGTTTAGACCTGTCCAACGATTTTTACAAGGGTGACAGAAAACAGAGAAAAAAGGGGCTGGATAACAGAACAAGACCATGAAACAACCCCTGTGGGCTGGAAGATTGGATCAAGACTAACATAAAAAACTTCAATAGGATGGTGTTTTTTATATTGCCAACTGAATAAATATAGAACATTAAGATGTTTGTAAGAAAAAGCACACTTGTGGATAGGTAGGTAGTGATTTACTTATTTGTTTATTTTTTATTTTTTTGAGAAGCAGTTTCGCTCTTGTTGTCCAGGCTGGAGTGCAGTAGTGCAATCTCAGCTCACTGCAACCTCTGCCTCCCAGGTTCAATCGATTCTCCTGCCTCAGCCTCCCGAGTAGCTGGGACTACAGGCATGTGTCACCACACCCAGCTAGTTTTTTGTATTTTCAGTTGAGAAGGGGTTTCACCATGTTTACCAGGATGGTCTCGATCTCCTGACTTCGTGATCTGCCCGCCTTGGCCTCCCAAAGTGCTGGGATTACAGGCGTGAGCCACCACGCCTGGCCAGGTAGTGATTTAACAGATCAATGGTGTCAGTGGTGTAATCAAAACTACTCAAAGAGCCCGAGTAATTGCCAGAGCTTTAGAGCCCAGTATGGAGGTGAAAAGATACCAACGTATTCAGTGCTATTCAGACCACATGGACTTATAGAAACTCCCCGTGGAAAGACAAATCTACCAGAAAAGAACATCCAAAGCTTGAGGGGGATCTAAAATGTTTCACTTAAAAAAGAGAAGCTGACCAGGCACAGCGTCTCACTCTTGTAATCCCAGCAATTGAGCCCAGGAGTTTGAGACCGGCCTGGGCAACATAGGCAGACCCCGTCTCTACAAAAAAACTTGAAAAAATAAAAGAGAAGGCAACTTGGAGTGGAAAAGCTATTTGGATCTCTAGTTGACTGTCACAGAGATAATAAAACCAGTTATCTCACAGAAACGGTGCAAGGATCGTAAGAGTTAACTCACGTAAAGTACTCAGAGAGTCACATGGTAAGTGCTAACTAAACATTAGTTATTTAAATTGCTAATCAAGTAATCTATCTTTTTTTTTTTTTTTGAGACCGAGTTTCGCTCTTGTTACCCAGGCTGGAGTGCAATGGTGCGATCTCGGCTCACCGCAACATTTGCCTTCTGAGTTCAGGCAATTCTCCTGCCTCAGCCTCCTGAGTAGCTGGGATTACAGGCATGCACCACCATGCCCAGCTGATTTTTTGTATTTTTAGTAGAGACGGGGTTTCACCGTGTTGATCAGGATGGTCTCGATCTCTTGACCTCGTGATCCACATGCCTCGGCCTCCCAAAGTGCTGGGATCACAGGCGTGAGCCACCACGCCCGGCCCTCAAGTAATCTATTAATCAATATTAATTTCTCATTTTGGCTGGAGATATCAGACTACGTTCTAATTTCACGTCTTTCAACATAAAAGAACCAATGGGTAAAAGTAGAAGGTTTTAATTCAAAATAAGAATGTTCTAAGAGTGAGAGTTGCTGAAAAATGAGTTGGGATATCCAAAGTCACTGTAAGTATTTAGGCCAAGGTTCAACAGCATCTACCTATGATGAGTGTTGGGGAAGGGATTTTCTACCTTGGATGAAGATGAATTTGACCAGGATTGGCAAATGGATTTTGATCACTGGTGCTACTTCCAATGAACTGATAGTGGCTGTAAAGTGTCATGTTGAGAAAACTTCTGAAGCCATTTTGGGCCCAGGAGGAAAAAATGTGAAAGAAAGATCCATTAGTAAAGTTTGCCAGGAGCAGAGATAAAGGGAATAGTGCTAGGAATGATTTAAAAAGTCTTTCAATTCTGAGACTTTGATTCTGGCT